GACTGGGTTTTTGAAGTTGACTGGGTTTTTATATGTATACTTTGACGTAGTCAACTTCAAAAAAATATTTGAATGCCTTCCCGATCGAATTTTGAGCTGAAATTTGGTATAGATAAACTAGACTTCATGAAAAACATGCTCAAAACATTTCATCAAAAAATTCCATCGGGAAGTGCCCGAAATGCCCTCGGCCGGACGGCGGTTCCCGTCAGGCCGGCTGGACACGAAAAGGACTCTTAGATAATATATACGTTATTAAATACAAAATAAAAGATGAAATATGTAATTTATAAGTGATTTGAGTTACAAATAAATAACATTTAATATTAACTATGCAAAGATGTTGATAAAATTACATATCGCAAAACAACTACAATGAAGTGGCATGGTGGGATTCGAACATGACCACAATTCCTACGTGTGCACTACTTCTACCGCTGGGCTATAACACTCTTCACTAGTGGAAAAATTGCAAAGGGAGGCGCTTCATTAGAGGCGTTTTCAGACACAAGCGCCTCTAAGTATTAACAATTTTTTTTATCTTTTCGTAAGCAATGCGTGCGACGCTTTAAAAAGTGTAAACGCCTCCAAGTAACTTAAAATTTTAATTATCCGAGCAATAGGTACAAAGTATCACTTAGGGAGTGTTTGCGATTGCTTGTACTTTTTAAAAGTGATTTTTTTAAGAGATTATTGCAAAAGTGATTTGTAGTAAAAGTTGATAGTGTTTGGGAATAGAAGTGATTAAAGTGGAAAAGTTAAAGTTGGAGTGTTTGATAAAAAAGTGATTTTTGATGTATTAATTTAGTGAAAGACAAAAACACCCTTATATATGCCGTACGAAGTATTAATTCAAAGTTGCACTAATGGGGTGAAAATGACGATGTGGTGGGTTTGGCCTTTCCGGCCATGACAGGAACGAAGCTGGGAGTTATCACCTTGATGGATTTGCGATACGAATGGAGATTTGGGTGGGTTGGGCATCTCCAGGCTCCGCCCAGAGTGTTTAGGAAGTGACGAAGGACGGATAATGGTGGTGTGGATGAGTTTGACAATTCCGGCAATGACGATGATGAACTAAGGAGCGATAAATCCGGCCGGATTTGATGGCGACGGTGAAGCTATTTCTCTCGCCGATCTCTGCTCTCTTCTGACAGAAGCAGAAGGGAGTAAGGGTATTCTGGGTGCACTTCAATATATTTAGCATTATAACCATCCCCAAAGTTCAAACTATTTACAAAAAAACCAATAAGCAGTTAAAAGCACCTCCAACCCAACTTCCAGCTTTTAACTTTAAAGCACTTTTTTTAATCAAAATCTGGGATTACCAAACACCTCTTTTAGCTTTTTTTAATCTAAAAGCCAAAAAGCACTTAATTTAAGCAATGACAAACACACCTTTATATGCGGTACTTGGGGTTTAATAGAGCGCCTTTAAATTTTTACTTTTTAATTATATATAGCACCCGCACCCAGTTTTTCTTTATAAACCACGCAACCTCAAAAAACAGATCTGGTTTTCACATCCAAGAGATGAGAATAATTTCAGAGAAGAGATTGGATTCAAAGTGTCATGACACCTTCTTCATCTACTCTAGTGTTGTTTCATGTATTCTTCTTGAAGAAGTTGCAATCAATTGATTCAACTCTCCCATCTGGTAACTTTCTTTTTATTATCTGTTATTATTAATTTTGTATTCTACTACGGAGTATTATCATTACTTGAACAAGGTGAAGAATAGACCCTATGCCTGCATCACCGCCACTCCGGCCACCGCGTCGCGCCTACGATAGCCTGCGCCGCTGCCGCCTCTTAGGATAGCCTGAGTCGTTGCTGCTTCTTGCGATAGCCTGTGCCGCTGCCGCTACAACGTCGTAATATACGCTGCCGCTACAACGTCGTAATATACGCTCCAGATCTGTTGAAGCATTTACGATCTTAACAAGATCTGTTTTTTGAACACAGTGAAGTCAGATCTGTTGTAATTATTTTTCGAATTTGTGAAATTGATGTATACTGCGGTATCATTTTTTTTTGTATACGTATTGACGTATTGTGGATATTGGTTTTAATTTCAATAATAATGCATTCATCCGTATTACAATAGTTATTACGGAGTTTATGATTCTGTTGTAATAAATTTAATAAATATTCGTTAGTTTGGAATAGTGTTGTTCAGTTTATCATCCTCTATCGTAATAGAAATTTATCATTTTGAGCAGAAACAAATTATTAGTATTAGTTTAAAAGAATATTAATATTATTGACGCTATTTGGTGCTAATTTACAACTGACGCCCATATAATTTCATTCAGTACAAATTAAATATAGGAGGCGCTTTTGATACGTGAAACGCCGCACATATTTTTAGAAAAATAAAAAATAAATTAAAGTTTTGTGGCGCTTTTGGAGTTGATAAGCGCCGCACGCCGAGAATTGCGGCATATGCTGGGGGTGGCGTTTCAAAGCGCCGTACGCAAGGCATTTTAAGCGCCTCTAAACGCAATTTTTGCACTAGTGCTTTCATTAAATTTAGGATTTTAAACATTATTATACTATACATATGACAATGATATATGTACACAAATAAAATTATACGGAGTGTGTGTGTGTGTGTGTGTGTGTGTATATATATATATATATATATATATATATATATATATATATAGAGAGAGAGAGAGAGAGAGTAATCTTCCGGTCAGGTATACCTGACCGGAGCCGCCGTCCGGCATCCTCCTTTTGGGGGCCTTCCCGGTGGTATTTTTTGCTCAAATTTTTTGTGTATGTTCCTCATCAAGTCTAGTTTATCCATACCAAATTTCAGAAAAAAATTCAATCGGGAAGGTCGTCAAATGATTTTTGCAAGTTAACTGGTCCGGAAAATACATATACCGGACCAGTTAACTTGGAAAAATCATTTGACGACCTTCCCGATTGAATTTTTTGCTGAAATTTGGTATGGATGAACTAGACTTGATGAGGAACATACACAAAAAATTTGAGCAAAAAATACCACCGGGAAGGCCTCCAAAAGGAGGAGGCCGGACGGCGGTTCCTGTCAGGTATACCTGACAGGAACATTTGTGTGTGTATATATATATATAGTGGGGTTGGGTGGGGGTTGAGTGGGGGCAACTACCTCTGCCCCATAGTAGATACGCCTCTGGTGGCAAGCAAAGCTACAATATGTTTAGCTAGTCATTGTAGATGCTCTAATAACTAATAATAAAGTAAACTCGGTATAATAAAGTAAAATTATACTACATCAATCCCGAAATCTTGGCCGAATCTTAGAAGTTGAACCAGAGTTTTGAGTAAGATAATATTATAAAAGTTATACTACCAGAGTCTTGGCCGAAGTATATTTTATACTGTGTATTTTTAACAAGGAACATTTTCATATCATTTTTATATTATAATTGGTCAAATATCGAACTTGACTAAGTATTTTGCAATTTTGTATATGAACAAATTGTTGAGTGTGCTTCTTCTGATTTCATTTTTGTCGACGGCGAGTACTTTTTCCCGTTTTCATTACGGCATAAACAAAGCAAAGTAGATATAAGTCGTATGACAAACAACAACAAATGCGGTTGTGTTAAAGTAGCCTAAGCATGTCCACAATCATTATCATTGGAAAACGACATTTGTAGAGATTTATAGATTACTTTTGGAAAACATAGTCCACTTAAATTGCGGACAATCATTATTTGTGAAATTAGGTTCCAAACAAAACGTGTGCACATACATTACTTTGGATGCCATCAATTACGTGAACTTGGTACCCTTGTTCGAATGCGCAACAATTAATTTATGTAACAAACATTTTGATTTGTTGCCTAGCTGCTGAAAAATGCATTAGCTTAACCCAGCCCTTGCAGTATAATAGATTGTCCATTCCTTCTTTCAACAAATTTCTTTTTAGGTGTGTATAATAGATGAATAATGTCATGAAATAAAAAATGACTTAAACAGAGCATATAGATATTCTTGGACATATTATCTCCTATTAACACACTAACAAGAACATTAAAGTGAGTTTTAATTTCAACACAATAGACACAAAAAATGGGTAAATAATTTTGATCTACACTTTCATAAAATATAGAGAAAAGGGTCAAATAAGGCCTTCTACTATTATGAAACAGTCACATAAGGTCATGTACTCAATAAAGTGTCATATGAGTACCTCTACTTGTAAAAAGCAATCGAATGGGTTCTAATGACCTATTTAACACCTCCTAATCCCGGTTTTAGCTTACATGTCGATTATTTTGACTTGTATTTCAACCAATCGTAGTTAAATATTCGACGTATACCGTATAATCTATTCTAAAAAGATTGTCAGAAGTACGCTAAAACTGGGATTAAGATGTGTTAAATAGGTCATTAGGACCCATTTGATTGTTTTTTAAAAGTAGATGTACTTATATGACACTTTATTGAGTACATGGCCTTATGTGACTATTTCATAATAGTATAAGGCCTTATTTGACCATTTTCTCTAAAATATAATCTAGTCATAAGTGAATAATTCTAAGTTGTTTTTAAACGTCACCCCTCTACCCCTACGCCCTCCTCCTTTTCACCTTTTCAACATGCTCTCTTTTTAGCTGCTTCTTAATGGAGGTAATAAAAAAAAACTAAAAGCAATCCAATTGCCCCGAATTTGGGCCACCTGGAATAAGGACCAAGTCCTCCCCAACGGTTACGTTTTAGACACGGACGTAGAGATTGGTTTCGTGTAAAAAATTAGCCGAGTGTGGTGCAGCTAGGATTAGAATTGTATTGTCCTGATTTGATATATTTTAATTTGATCTGATCTAATCCGATTTAGTCTAATAAATGTCCATCAGTCCATGATGTGTATGTTACTGTTGTCTACGTCTGATCCAGTCCCGTCTGAGACTAAAATCTATCCAATTACTAGCATAAGAATAACACAAGGCCTAGTTGTCTTTTTTATTTGGCCTGTGTGAGACAAACAAATTGAGTTAAATACTAAGAGCTTCAACTTGTATTTAATGTTATTGTCAAATAAATAATACTATGTAAATTACAATATGTAAACCACTTGATAAATTTTATGTGACAACTATTTGTAGAAAACAGAGTAAACACAGAGTGCATAATAAACTATAAACTATTCAAATAATGCATGAAGCATAGAAAGGGCAGTGTAGGCTGACTCATTAAGTAGCTTTCACAACAATAGGACTTCTAACATAGTGGTGCTGATCAGACCATTTCAGCAACCCAAATTTATAGTCATTATTACTAGCATCTTTTCCATTTGCCCTGAGAGTAACCTTAAAAGTTTTCTCCTCCCCAGCCTTTTCAAACTTAAGTGTTTTCGGCTGAACAGTGATAGAGATCCCAATCGGGCTACGGATAGACGACGTATATGTAGCCGGGCCACCAACATTTGTCACTCTTCTAGTCACGGTGGCCGTTCCATTGAGGTCTGGAATAGTGATGGAAGGATAGTTGAGGTTGTAGGTGCTGAAGTGGCTGAGGGGGCACTTGTATGATGCCCCAAGAAAGACCTTCATGTTAGCTTCACTATAGCCTTGTGCGCATAAGAAGTTAACATAATCTTCGAGTTGCATGTCATAGACCAATCCAGGATCCGCAGCACGGTTTGGCCTAATGTGTCCAGCCCCATATCCAAATGGGGTTGCATTCAGTCCAGTTGATTCGGTTATTGGCTTCATTGAGTTTGACTTTACTCTAGCTGAAAACATATAAAATCCCAATAAACTCTCAAAATGTGTTAATTCATAAGCACAATGAGAATTTGTTAGTGACAATGAGAAGTGCAAGGATATTTAAACAATGTTAATTCATAATTAGTTTAAATAACATTTTAATTTCTGCAAGGATATTTCCCCACTTTTGGTCGATTGAATATTGTGAATTTTTGACAATGAGAATTTTGAACCATCTTTTATTTTTTACTTTTATTCCCTTGTGCCAATGAAACATTCCCAGTATGGTGGTACCCATCATTAAATTTTTCAAGTTTTAGTCCCTAACTGATGTAACCGTGACACTTTTGGTACTCATTTTCACCATCATTAAACTTTGGGAAAACTGTCAAATAGGTCCTCGAACTTTAATAAAAAGGTCAATTAAGTCCTTCTATAGGAGGTTTTGTCTGGCCGTCGCGATTTGGGGCAGTTCCCGGTGGAATTTTTTGATGAATGTTTTTGAGCATCTTATTCACCAAGCCTAGTTTACTCATACCAAATGTCAGCTAAAAATTCAATCGGGAACACATTCAAATTAATTCTTGAAGATAACTGCGCATTTTTGCGTTCTCGAATTAATTTGAATGTGTTCCCGATTGAATTTTTAGCTGAAATTTGGTATAAGTAAACTAGACTTGGTAAATAAGATGCTCAACAAATTTCATTAAAAAATTCCACCGGGAACTGCCCCAAATCGCGACGGCCAGACAAAACCTCTTATAGAAGGACTTAATTGACTTTTTTATGAAAGTGCGAGGACCTATTTGACAGTTTTCCCTTAAACTTTTCAAGTTTTAGTTCCTAACTGAAGTATATTGAAGCTTTAAATTCTTACCCGTAGTCATGATAGCAGATTTGATTGCAGCCGGGCTCCAGGAAGGATGAAGAGTTCTGAGAAGGCCTACAACACCAGCAACATGAGGGCATGACATTGAAGTCCCTGATTCTAAGTTAAATAGGACTCTCCTCTTATCATAGTCTTCGCCAGATGGTCCTACCGCTCCGGTATAGGCAGCTATCACATCCACTCCAGGGGCAGTGATATCAGGCTAATTAAACAATATCACCACAGAATGCCTCATGTTTTGGTTAAAAAATAATCAGATCAAAAACTTTGTTTTTCATGTTTTGTAAATTTTGTAGTGATGAAATCAGGTACTAGTATATACAAACCTTAAGAATTTCGGGGTTAATAGTGTTAGGGCCTACTGATGAGAAAGCTGCCATGACTGGAGCTGGCTTCACTCCAAACCGTGTTTTCGGATCAGTAATGCGAGCTATAGGATTCCTGCATGTGATGTATGTACATATATTACAAGCTATACATATGTGTGTGTCTTAATAATCTCTACGTAGTATAAAAACTAAGTACCTGGTTTTATTAAGGTACGAAAAGATAGCAAGTCCATCTTTGTATGTGACATGTGTAGCTGGGATAAAATGTGCATCACTAACAATCTCATTCCCAGAACTCTTATCATTTGCAAGAATCATTCCCGCAGCACCAGCCAAAGCGGCTTCATGGCTCTTCTCAACCCGGCCATTCCCACCTCGAAGGCAAACCAATATTCTCCCCTTCACCTTTATCGGGTCCAAAGTTCCATTCAAACAAAGCTGACTGCCCACATGCCAACCAACACACCAAATGTATATACTAAGTCTATCAGAATTATTCATTCAATCAAAAAAGATGAAACAACATCACATAGTAATAATATTTACAACAATAATACATTGTATGGTTAAAGTCGTAATCATAGCAGATTTACTATTATTAGTTATTACAGTTTTAGTACTATTATAGTTCTTACTCATGTTAGAATTTTTGTTCTTATCCGTTGTAGTTCTATTACTTCGTTGCATCCATAAAAGTGGTTATTTATTATTTCAACTTGTATATAAATAATAAGTAACCCTTACGCATCTTTACTCGAAACAGATGCATTCGCAATCTTGGCAGATGTTGCAGAAACAAGTGGATAGAACTTGCCTCGTTGCAGTTTCTGTGGTGCTATACTCTCACCCTACACAAACACATGATAACACACAACCTCAGCCATCCAAGTGGAGGTTAGTTTGTTGATTTCGTAATTAAATATGAAGATTTTGTTTACTAGAAAAAAGAGTAAAACATGACTAATGCGCTCCAATGAGAGCATCCTTATTGTGTGCTAATAATTAAAACTGGACCTATTCATTTCTATAAGTAGAACGAAAGCAGTGACTAGTTCTTCTTTGGATTAGTTCATTGACACCCAAAAGAAGTTTTAACTACTTTTGTTCTTTTATGAGAACTCTGAGTTGACTCCTATTTTAAAATAAAGCAAGGATACTCCTATTTATGCTTTTTGACTCACCTTTTACTCTTATTTCCAACATTCTCTTTTCTGTTTTTAGAAGAAATAATGGTATGTTTTAGTCCTATTACGCAAACAACAATTAAGAAAGAAGTAATGGTGGAACTAACTAACATCATAATGTTTTTTGTTTCCCAAGACTACTCTGCGTGGAAACTGTCGGTCCATGGTGCTCGCCCCTACGGTGATGATCCATGGTGCAACATTGGATACAGAACCGGCAGCGGGTCCTGAATTTCCTGCTGATGCAACCACAACAATCCCGTTCTTGACCGCGTGAAAGGAACCAATGGCGATACCATCTGAAAAATAAGGCCCCACGTCTCCACCAACCGATACAGACAACACGTCAACACCATCATGAATCGCCCACTCAAAGCCAGCAAGGATGTCTGCATCATAGCATTCCGCGCCCTTTTTAATTGGAGGCCAACAAACCTTATAAGCAGCTACCCGGGCTTTGGGTGAGCCGCCTTTTGCTGTTCCATTGCCAAGCCCAAATATATTTGCCCCTGGGACAGCACTACCAGCTGCTGTTGATAAGGTGTGAGTGCCATGACCTTCAAGATCTCTTGGTGTGTTGAACCTGGAATTATTTACTAGGGTGCCGGCATCAGAGGAATATCCTTTGTTGAAGTATCTAGCTCCAATCAGTTTCCTGTGTTAACCATTAAATTGATTAATAACATTATATTCCAATTTGTTTATAACAATCATATAAGTTGAAGATAAGATGCCCAAAAAATGTAACAAATAAGACCTACTTGTTGCAGCGAAAGCTTTTATCATTCTCATTATCACAAATTCCTTTCCATCTTTTCGGGACTGGTCCAAACCCTTCATCGCTGAAGCTTTTTGATTCAGGCCATACTCCTTCATGCCACAACATAACAAGCAAATAATACATCACTAGCTATATCTACTAGTACTTATGAATGTGATCTCACTTCCTAATCAGTAATCACATTGTTTACTTCATTTTTCTATTATATTGTAAAAGTACATATCCTTTATCATTCTATTTTACAAACAAATTTCCTATATAAAATCAATGTACCTAGTTAGTTACATTCTGTAACACAACTTTGGCTAGTAATTTAACCAATCATATGAATACAAGTGAGCGTGATTGTCTGATATTCAGTCTCGCGGATAATTTGAGTATTCTTATAGCACTGACATGCAGCATTTGAAATTCCAGATACAAAAGGCATCACTAGAACCACATATTATTAGCCCATTGGCAAAATATGAAGATATAGGGTCTTCACTGCTTCATTTTTAAAAGCATGAGTACAACCAGCATATCCAATATACGGAGTATGAGAAAGTGATCCTGACTAGAGTATTCGCCTATTTGGTACGGATTTTGTTGTATGAAAATAATATGAAATAGAGAATGGTTTAGAGTGTTGGATAATTTAGTGCTTCAAATTACTTTCCATGTAAATCTTCATAAGGATATACTCCATAATTTATATCGTTATATATACTAATGATATAACGATATATGAGTAAATAAGTTTGAAAATTTCAAAATTGGACTGTCATGTTTTTATTCACAAAATAAGAGTAGTTACTGGCAAGTTTGGAAAATACTGACATGTTTAAAGCCTAGTACTGCCAATGGCAGTAATTAATCTTATTTTGGGAATAAAAACATGATAGTCCAATTTTAGAAAATACAAACGTTTTTTGTCCTATTTATTGATATAATGATAACGTGGCTAGAAACAAAATTGATAACTAAGGATGTTTTTTACTTAGACCGAAACTTTCTGATCTGGTCTGGTTTGAACTGGTCTAGTAATTGTTAGGTCTCTCTGTGTATTTTACAACTATCGAAGTTTGATTTGGTCTGACCTGATTAGAATTGGTCAGGCCTGATGTGGTACTGAAATAAGTCCAAGTAACAAACCAACAACATCCAAATGTTTCAACTCCAAGAGATACTTATTCAATTGTCATGGGGTATAACAATAATAATGAGTCTACGGTAATGCATTTGAGAAAGTCAGTTAATAAAGGCAAGTGAGGGATGCATATATAGGGTACCGGTATCGATATTGCCGATGATGGTATCTTGTCCAAACTTAGCCTTTTCCCAAATGGAACCATGGCGGACTGTGCCGTCTTCGCTTTGCAGCCCAAGGAACTGCCATGATCTGGTTGTGTGCAACTCTCTTGCCTGGTTCAGGAACACTGATGTCACCTCCTCACTCTCTGCACATTGCCATATTTAGATCTTTGATTTAGTGATTCACTTTTCAAAAAATTAAACTTTATTGAATTTGATTCTTCTGTTTTCCAATTGATTTGCAATACGTAAAAGTACTAATTTGTAGAGTTTCGATACATTTGTTTATTATACCCTAAAAAAGAAACTATGACACTATTACCTCAATTTATACCTCAATCTATTTTTGTGACTCGCAAAAGCTCACCTCAATAAATGAATGGCCCCACTTGAATGAGGTGTTTTTTTGAGCCACAAAAATAGGGTGAGATACAAATTGAGGTATCAATTGGGGTACCTTTAACATCGTTCCACCATTACTGTCACCGAATTTAGTTTACCACAACTAAGATAAAGTTATTTCTTTTATTTTTAGTTAATATTCCCTCCGTTTCAAATTGGATGAGAGACTTCGACTTCACAAAGATTAAGGAAAAAAGTTAATACGGGATAAATTTTATTGTATAGAACACTATTTTGATGTTGTTTGACATTGTTTTACACTGTTTTGTACTATATTGATATAGATTTGTTTACCAAATAAAGAAAAAAAGCGTGACATTCATTTTGAAACATCCAAAAAAGAAAGTGTGTCAAACAAATTAAAACGGAGGGAGTATGATTATATTCAACACTACGCTATAATAGGGGTGCAAACGAGACGAGGCGCTCGTAAGCTACTCGGTCAATACTTGACCCGAGTTCGGTCAAGTATAAACATGAATTATAAAATGAAAATAATATTTAAAATGCTAAAAATACTCTCTTATTATTTGTTGTATGGGATAAATATATTCAAAAAAACATTCATGATAGTATGCTCGTACGAAATAAATATATTGGTCGAAATCGATCAAAGAGTTTTGACCAAAGGTCAAAGTATATTTGACGAAAAATGACATAAATATTAACTCTGCTTTTGGGATGGATACAGAAAGAAATGTGAGTTCTTACTAGCAATCTCTGCAGCATCTTCTTCCTCCAGCATAGCAGCAAAACCATTGATGTATCTTGTGTATGAGTAGAAGATTGCGTCTCTTGCCTTGTCCACACTTTTTAATTTATTGTTGAGATTATCATGTAAGTATGGAACAATGTAACACGTTTAATCATATTATATATATTACCAACTTATATACAAGTATATTGGAACATTGAAAATGGACATTTATTAATTGTTATACATAATAAGATTTGTATGTGTATATATACCTTCCCAGGTATGATCCAAGCAGCTCCTCGTGATAATATGTTACTCTCTCAAGCTCCATAGAAGAGACTTGTTTTCCATGTGAATGCCCACCCAAGTACACTATATATGACTGTTTTTACATGGATATCCAAATTAATTATAATCCACAATAATTAACATCCACTCTAACACATATGAATTGTAGCTAAATTATAAGAACATATTCAATGTGACCGGCCAATTGATGCAAATAAATAAAGCTTATTTTTTGTTCCGCAATTTTCCATGTTTTGTTAACTTTCACTCCATAATGTACGTTTAACTCTAACGCATTCTGAAGAAAAATTACAAAAAATATACGGAGTAGATATTAAATGATACTGCGTATTATATATATATTCAAATTTAGTGTATTTTCTGTTATGCCTAGCTACATGCATGACGACCTATCTCTGACAAGTATGTAGTATATTAAAGATCCTCTCGTTCTTCACCACACTTTTTATTATGCATAAAAGAACATAACACACTTGGATTTATTAGCAAGGGAAAAAATATGTAAGTACGTTACTACATATTGCAACAATGAATTGAATACCTTTTTTATGGAAAACGTGGGTCTAAGAAATAGAGTAAAAAGAAATAATAATAGAATGGAACATTTCTTTATTTCCATGGCTGCTACACTTCAGATATAACCTTTCTTATTGCTGGCCAAAAGATTAGTATGTGAATTCAAGCTCCGTCAAACTTCTACACCTATTTATTTACACACATGCATTATGCATATATATCTATTCATTTGAGAGTACTCCTACCACAAACAGTTTCCATTTCTAATGGAAACTTCGTAAGGAATATTAACGCATTTAGGAAAGTGAATATTTATTTTGTATTGTTACTTCAAAGGAAAGATTTTAAAACGATACGGAGTACTTTATAACATATCATTAATCTTCATAAGAAAGTGAATATTATTTCATTAATTTGCTTAAACTTAAAGATTCCACAGCGTGATATCTTGATCTCAAATGAACAAAAGAAATGGTTATTTAAGGTAACTTAGATTTTATATATATGGTACTTACTCCCTCTTGTTATTATATTGTCCAGTTTATTATTTCTTTTTCTGTGTCTTGTTTTGGTTTGACACAATTATTAATAAAATTATTATTAAAAAAGTAAAAGTTGTAGTTGAAATTTGAGTATAATAAAGTGTAATGTTGCAAGCCGACTACATATTTCTTTAAAAAAAGAAATGTGACAATTATTTTGGGACAATTCAAAAGGAAAGTAAGATAGGTAAATGGGGAAAAAGTCAAATAAAGCTTTCTACTATTATGAAATCGTAACATAAGGTCATGTACTCATAAAGTGTCATATAAATACGTCTACTTTTGAAAAGCAACCGGATTACTCAAAATGACCCGTTGACCACCTCCTAATCCCGATTTTAGCTTACCTGTCAATAATTTTATCTTGTATTTAAGCCAATCCTGGCCAAATATTTCATCTAGGCTTTATGATCTATTTTAAAAAGATAGTCAAACGTACGCTAAAACCGGGATTGTGAGGTTGTCAATAGGTCATTATGACTCGTTTGATTTTTTTTATAAATAGACGTATATATATATATATATACACAAATGTTCAGGTCAGGAGTTCCTGACCGGAACCGCCGTCCGGACCGCGGCGTTTAGCCGCCTTCTGGGTGGAATTTTTTGATGCAATTTTTATCACATGTTCTCCATCAAGTCTAGTTTATCCACACAAAAATTCAGCCAAAAACTAAATTTGGAAGGTTGTCAAATAATTTTTGCAAGTTAACTGGTCCAGAATATGTATTTTTCGGACCAGTTAACTTGCAAAAATCATTTGACGACCTTCCCGATTGAGTTTTGGCTGAATTGTTTTGTGGATAAACTAGACTTGATGGAGAACATGACATAAAAATTTCATCAAAAAAAGACACCGGGAAGGCGGCCAAACGCCGCGGTCTGGACGGCGGTTCCGGTCAGGAACTACTGACCGGATCATTACTATATACATACATATATATATATATATATATATATATATATATATATATATGACACTTTATTGAGTACATGACCTTATATGACGATTTCATAATAGTAGAAGACTTCATTTGACCCTTTTCTCTAGGTAAAATAGAAGGAAGTACCTTAACTATTAGTATTGTCGCATTTTGATACTTTAAATCTTAAATGAAATAGACCAGTACTATAATAATACGTAATGTTTCAATCATCAATACTTTTCAAATTTTATCTCAAAAAATCCTACGTGGCGACCACCATTTCATGCTAAGAGTCCCCACCCCGCAGTGATGACATGGACAAAAACAACGTAAAATGGACTTTATAGACAGATTTCTAGCCACCACTAGGGGTGGGCGAATCGGTTTACGTTTCAGGTTTTATCAGTTTCGGTTCGATTTCGGTTTATTCACTTTGAGGAAAATAGTACCAAACTCAAACCAAAAGAATTTCGGTTTGGTTTTGGTTTGGTTTGGGAAAAATTCGGTTCGGTTTATAAACTTGAAAATGATTATGTCTTGTTTCATATTTTACAATCCACTTTGAGTTATTTTGAATGTTTTGTTTTCATTGAAATTCCAACTAAATGAAATACTAGAACCAGCCTTCACCAAACCAATTGAACAACCTGCCTTCACCTGCTTAAACAATCTGCCAATTGAAATTCCAACTAAATGAAATACTAGATTCTAGCTTAAACAACATGCCTTCACCTGCTAAACCAATTGAAACAAACTAAACCAAAAACTCACACAGAAATAGAAATAGAAATAGAAATAGAAATCACAAAGTTTACACAAACAGTTTAATAGATTAATGCTTCAACTGAAAACAGAAATACAAGTGTACATGCTACATAGCAATGGAGCAACTCCTACAGGACCCACTAGTTTACAAGAGCCAAGGAAAGTTCATAGCTTAAAGATACTGGTTGCACCTGCTAAACCAACTGAAATAAAACTAACCAAAATACTATAACAGAGTTTCAAAATACTGCCTGCACTTGCATATCACAGTTCAAGGAGAAAGTTCATAGCTTAAAGAGCCACACTTGCATATCACAGATCAAGGAGAAACAAAAAAATTAAAATGTCTCCAAATCTGCATACTAGAACTAGCACCAACACTAACTTCTTGCATCCATACTCACTGCCTGCAGCCATACCTGCAAAGAAAGCATGAATTTAAAGGAAAAATGAATGTCAAAAAGTGGAAGTCTTAATTCATAACACTCAATTAAAATCTAAAATCAGCACTGGAAAGAAATCTGGAAACATTACGAAAGCAAGTACTATGTCATACCTGCAAAAATAAAACTTCAGTATTCTTCACCAAGCATCGATATCAAAAATCACCTTGTTGATCGCTTAATTTACGGAGCTCTAAAACAATTCCATTGAAGCAAGGCATATCTAGTTAAATGCAATTTAAAAAACATTATAATGAATGTAAAAATAATTAAAACTGAAAATACCTTCAGCCATTGAATCCATAAACTCTGTCTCCTCTATTGCTTGGTGAAGGCTCGCTTTTGCATCATAATCAAATGATGAACGTAACCAATCTTGTGTCAAAATCAGCGCCTCAAGCATATGTGGAGTAGACAACTCCTATATGGATCTAAAACACGACCTCATGTGCTAAAGGCAGATTCAGATGCAACCGTTGAAACAGGAATTGCAATAATATCTCTTGCCATTTCAGCCAAAACTGGAAATTTCACACTATGTCCCCTCCACCATGATGTGATATCGAATTCCATGCCCAATCTATTGCGGGTTGGCATCTCAACTTTTTCCACCAAATATACATCTAATTCAGTGGATGTTTGTT